TTAATAAAATAACACTTATCAGGTATCCAAAGGTTCTTACTATGTTCTACCTATTAAACAATTGTTGAAATGAATTTCAGCAATGAAAATTTTATGAAAATCAAAAGAACTTTGCAAAATGTTTGCACCTGATTTTACAAAAACAAACTGTTGATTAAGATTTCAGACTTCAGACGTTTGTCAGTTTACAAGAACGAACAATCTTAGTAATTCATATTTCAGACTTCAGCACCACCTTTTATTAATCAAAAGTGAAATAATTCTTCAGACTTCAGCACCTCTTAAAAAACAAACGTCACCTTAGGTTTTGTATTCAAGTTGATGGACTAAAACTGTAAATACAGATGGGGTATAAATGGTTTGAGTTAGTTTCTTTATTTTTAATATTCCTAATCACTTTGTATATATTGTGATTCAGATTCTCTCTCAATAATATAGTTTACACTTTAGTGGCATATTGAATTCATAGTTTTCTTACATAATATCTTGATATATACTTGAACCTTGGGATAACAATAGCTCTGCATCTTCCATTCTTAATAACAAGTGGAGCTTTCACCAACTGTGAGAAGTGCATTTTATATTTTTACTTGTAACAAGGTTACACTTATATCATTCTACCTTCTGTTTTTTTTTTACTTTTTGCAAGACGATGTCAAAAGTATACACTGGAAAATATGATGCTAAGAAATATTTATTTGATTTTGAAAATCTTTAAGGCATTATTAGTCTTCATTTAACGAAGTATAAATGCGATTGGGCGTCTTGATGGCTTTTATCTATTTGACATACTTTTGAGAGGACTTTGGACGACAAGTTTAAAGCTTTCTACAAGTCGGATACGAGTTGTTTGTTTGGAAACTAATGTGTCAGGTAAGGAACGTTCTTTGTAGCAAGCGAATTATCAGTTTAAGAGTTCTTTACTCTCATTTTTATTGAGCTCACATACTCATACTATCACACCACATAATTAATGTTTATAAATGGTAAGTTCTTACTTGTAAAGGAAATGGGCACTATTCTTCTATAATTGACATTTTTTTTTGTATGTGTGAACTACCTTATAAGGTAATTGGAGCACTAGAGATAATTTCCACAGGATTTCACTTATTGATCATACAGTAGACTTTGTTTAAAAAGACATAATTATTTGGTTACAGACTGTTGGTTTTCAGGATTTTGGCTTTTACTTTGCATGAGGGTAATGTCCCATAAATTTTTTTATTCTTGTTTACAAACATTTTTTTTTATCTACAACATATTGTTATTAACAATCTATTTACTGATGTTCTACACATCTATGCAAAATATGTCAAAGAATACATCGAAGGCCCAAATCCAACATTTCAATTGGAGAATACTGGGACTCGTATAATTATTCTGTTAGTGTGAATAATTGGCTTAATTGGTCAAAGAAGACTACCATATGTATTTTTACCAGTTATATTGATACATTAAGTAATTTAGTTTTTCATTTGTACGATACAAGTATCAAATCACATGTCATCTTCAGATAAACAGAATCTTGAGCTTAAAAAAGGCCAGTGAGAAATTTAAGATATCTTAAAGTGTTGAAGGTTCTACAAAGGTTGTATGAGGTAGCACTTGATGGTCTTTTTGTTACAAAACTAGTTGTGTACCCGCGCAATGCGGCCGGAGCCATGAATTTTAACGATTTTGAAGTTCTACTGGTTTTATAAGATAAGATTTAACGATGATATAGGTTACACATGTTCTTTACATATTAATACAATTTGAATAAGTAAGAGTTATGGTTCCAATTACAGACTATCGATGAAAAAAATTGTATGACAGTTTAAAATCCAATATATTTAAAATCCAACATATTTAAACGACTCCACAAATGTGTTCGATTTACACCAAGAGCAAAGAAATTTAAGATAAACACTCAAAACCAATAAAAAAACTACAAATTTAACAGATCATAAGCCATAAAAGGAACAAAAAAGATGGGTTTTAGAATGAAATTTCAACTGCTTACCCTCTTTCTTGTCCAGAAACTTATATTAAGGTTGAATTAATACATGTATATATATTTGAAAACCCAAGAACATATTATATAGTGCAATTTGGACAGCCTAATCCCAAAATATATAGTATATATATAAATAAATAACTATAAAAGTATAAATCATAAATATTAAAAATATTTTTTACAGTATATATAATATATAATAATATAATTAAGTCAAAAACCATTCAATATTGGACTCATTTCGAAGGTATTAACGAGACGATTATAATGGTGTAACTTGTTAAAATAAAAATGTATTTTTTAAACATGTTTTAATTGATATACGATTATGTATGTTAATTTGATAAAGGTTTAAAATGAAACATTTAAAAGTAAATGATGTAAAGTAAATTAATTAATTAATTATAGGGGTATAAAATGTAAATTTAAAATTATAATTTAAAAAAAATCGGTTATGATAGGGTGAGGGTATGTGAGGAGAGGAGTGGTGAAAAAGTGAGTAAGGGTAATATAAATGGTATCTTGGTCATTTATTATTTTAAGACTTTAAGACTTTTGCTAAATTTGCTTAATAAGATAGTATAAATATATCACTTATCCTCTTGCAAATTTTCTGCTAACATGGTTATTTTTGTCAATGTTGTTGTCTATGATTTTAGCAAGTAGTTTTTATAGTGAAATGGTTGGAAGAATGATTTTCATGGACAATGTTATGATGCTATTGAAGTTGTGTTTACATGTTCATTTCTGCGGCAAAGGTGTTCGATGAAATGTCTAAAAGAAACATGATGTTTTTGGAATTCCATAGATAAGTAGTTTTATATGTAGACTTTATGTGTAATTATTGTTATTTATTATTTTTTTGTGTATTTATTAACTTATGGTGATAATTTATGTAAGTATTCTAATCTATGTTGTTGTCTACGTTTTAGATTGGAGCCCTTATTGCATTTGTTTTGAAGTGATCAAGGGACATGGTGTTATGAACGGTTGAGCTTGCATTATAAGGATTAAGCGGTATTTGTTGATGAAGCTAAATAAAGGAAGGGGCTGTTGATAGTTGTTTGCAGCTAAGGAGTGCATATGGGCAGGATCAATAGGAGCTGTAGATGGTGTGACACTAAAGCCGTAATGGTGAAACTAGAGATATTGATGCTTTTCGGTGACCATCTTTAGTGAGCAATATGATCTTCTGTAGTGTACAATAAGTCTAAAGTGGTATAAAGTGATTTATTTATTAAAAATCATATATGTATGAATTACCAGCAAATTTGGATGAATATGAGACAAAAATCGATAATTGTGATTGGTTTCTCTCGGGAAAAGGATGAGTTGGTTCCAAAAGATTACCCCATATCATCGGCTTCGGCTCCAGTCGAAACTATAATACTTATTTATTCAAAGTGTATTAAATGTTTATCCGGCTAAATGTTTACTAAGTCATATTACTTTACAGGATGAATATGACAAAGACCAAAAATCTTACCTAAGGATGATGATTTGCTCCAACTCGGTGGGGAACCCGGCTCACCCGACCCGGACCGGGACGGGGATTCCCCGCTAGAACGGGTCCCAAGGCCAGGGCCGGGGATCTCCGGTAGCCTCAAACTAACAGATATTTTTCAAGGGGTTTGACCGGGGTTTAACCGGAGTTTGATCGGGGACAAGATGTTAATCCTCGTACCCACCAGGGACCACTGCCAAGGTCAGGGGCTATTACTAAAAATTGGTGCCAAGGTCGGGGATTACAAAACCCGCCCGTTGCCATGCCTAATCTTACCTGATAAAGCAAGAACCGAGAGTCTAACCTGGTAAGTGAGGGCCACCACTTTTACTACGGTTAACACTTATCAGGTAAATTGTTGCATATGATCCATTTTGGTGGACTAAAATCCTACTTGTCAAAGATAGCGCTGAATTTTACCAGTAACTGCTTATCGGACTAGCATTTAGGTAAACGATGTGTAAGTGTAAATCATATTATCATCAAAATCTTCTCAAATAAAACCACGATAGGGTGTTTGGGATTGCTTATAAAAGCGGCTTTTTAAGTTATTTCAGTCTGACACCGGTGATAAGCTGTTTTCTGGTGTATGGATAAGAAAAAAAACTGCTTATACCGATGTCAAACCGATAATTAACTGTTTTTGATAAGTTAATCGTTTCTGACTTATAAAAAACTGCTTATTACCAATTTATAATTTTAATCATGTTTTATTTCACTCCAATTTGATAGAACCAATCCCAAACACCCCTAAAATCATTTCTATTTATAACTCAAACCGCATCGCTCGAAACTGCCGTCAGCCGGCGAAACTGCCAGTCAGCCGGTGTCTTTTGTAATCCACCGCCATCCTACATCTACAACCTATAAACCTTAAACTACATCAACCTCCACCACCGAACCTGGCAACCCATCCGACCTGCCAGTGCAGCAGTTTTCTCATCACCACCAGAACCCTAATAACAATCCCTTTCACCAACCGCTGTCAGTGGCGGTGCTATCAGAATGCATGGCGGTGGCGATAACCAATCCATTTTCTTCCCTGATCCTGTCTCTGCATGTTGTTATAGTTTTTACCCACCGTGCTGGTTTTCAAATTCAGATATTCTTTTTCAGACTTTTCATCAATGGGCTAGACCCTTCTCATCTCATTTGCAACAAACCGTTCTAGGTGGCTTCCCCTGGCCTTGCCCAACATGGTTCTCAGTTTTTGGAAGCTCAAAGGTTTGATCTATTATTGTCATCTATATACGCCTTCATCAGAAAGTTCCTTTTATTGTTAATTTTGTACTAGCCTAGCAATAATTGTTATCAATATTGCTTGAATTTCGTTTGATGGAGCGGTTTGGATTTTCCCTTGGAAATTCCTGAGTGTGTACACGGTTCTTTGAATTGGAATAATGTGATTTAATTTCGAATTTCAAAAGTCAATGGAGGTGTTGTTCTTCCAAAGCACACTAGGTGTATCAAGGGAAGTGAATAGAGAGGATGATCATTGAGGTGGATTGTTATATGAAAGCTCTTGGTAAGAACCATTCTCTTTGACCGTTTATAGTGTTAGTGTTATTTTAAGAGTTCTCATCCTCTAACTTAATATATATGGAAAAGTTTGGTCCTCGAGCCATGTTGGTAGAATGGTTTAGTGATGAGAAATTGAGATTAGACATGGCATCTATTTAACGACGAGTGAATGTTGTGTTGGACAATGAGAATCTTGTTCCTTAGAGGAAGGAGAATTTCCGTAGATGAAGTGGAGTTTGAGATTTTTGTTAACCAAAAAGTGAGTAAAAGGCCTAGTGATCTTCAACCAAAAAGTTCATAATGATGTTTCAAACAAAGACAAAAGGATATTGAAGAAATTGAATTGGTGACAATCACTGATCACATAAAGATGACAAAATTGTTTGTTGTTGGTATGAATCTACCAAGCATGTCAATTTGTATTCCTAGAATCATAGTCATTCTATTCCATAGTTACCATGTAATCTCTCAATAATATCACCAAAAATTATTGATTATGCAAAAACCTGACCATTTATTGATGGATGGTATTTAGAATGCATTTCTCAAGGCTAATCATCAAGAAGTACTAAATCTTTGCAAAATGTTGGAACTGCAGGGGTCCATGAGTAATTGATTATGAATTCTTTAACAAATGTGAATGAGATAGAGCTTCACTCTGTATGTGAGGTTGGATAATATGTTTTTATGATCAAAATCAATATCTATGAAGATGGGTATTGTGTGAGCTAAGGCCTAAGAAAGATGCTTTTATTTAAATAGCTAGTACATCTATAAAATGCAAATTAATGGACAAGTAACGCATTGTGCTACTAAATATGGCATATCATATATGGTATTATGGTTTTTGCTTTTGAGGCTGACCATTGTGCACTTATTTAATTTACTCTAGAAAAAACTGATTAATTTTATTTGGGATCTGAATGCATTGTTTGATGTGTACTTTGCTTAGGGTGTGGCTTCTCCTTGATGTATGCCCATACAAGAGTTACATGTCAAAATCAAGGTACTTAGTTACGGAACTCATGGTCAATCGTGTTTTGCAAATAAATGCTAAATTTAATCATCGAATTTCTTAAAACTAAGGAGCAATGGATATTTATGACCTTATTAACTCCTCTCTTAAAGAGAAAAAAAGAGATTATCATCAATTGTTGCCTATATAGCGGGCATTAGTAAAGATACGTGTTGCATTATAATTGTCAAATTAGTCCCTCTTTAAACCATTCTTTGCACTTGATATTTACTATTTTACCTTGACCTTTTCAAATCCTGTAATGTGGAAACAAATTTAACTCATTACGAGTTGGCAACGGTAAAATTTCATGGAAGTGCCTCAACCCCAGGTGCAACTAGGCCCATTTTGTTTTTTTAGTATAGTGTAGTCGAGTGCGGTTTGGTAAGGCTGTGCACGGGGTATGCTCTAGTTACTGACAATAGTCATGTTAAAGATTAGGGATAATAGAGGGACATTTTGGTCTTTTTGCCAAAAATACGGAATTAAAAGACGAGCCACTATAAAGAAAAATCAAGGGTTGAAAGTGAGAGAAATCAAGGGTTGACTAACCTAGTCTATAAAAGAGATTGAAGAGAGTATAGGAGCCGCGACCGGAGGCGGAGTGACCTAGGTTAACGTGAATGCCAATTGCTCTTCTTATCCCGGCCAAGAGAACTGATTTTTCTTCTACCAGCGAATCGGCCGATTATTGATTTTTCTTTCCATCTTGCAAAGGTATTGAGCCAATTCTGAGTTCATTTTGGTTTCTTGATACACGCCTCACATTACCCTCTTCATTTCTCTGCTTCCTTAGCACTTGTCTCATTGACTCTTTCATGTGGTGCAATGGATCTTTAGACTTCTAGTCTTGTGACGATTAATAGAGATTAGAGACTAATGCTGTATTTATACACTATTAGATTTGATTTTGTATGTTTTTGATATTCTATTTAATACTTTACTTTAGGAGTAATTTTTGTTTTGTACATGCTTATAATGATCGTTGATTGTTTATTTATTACACCACTGTTGGATAGAATTCTATGTAGCACTGTCTTTTCAAGTAAATCCAAAGAGGATCCTTTGTTTTATTCTTGCCAATTGAAATGAAAAAGGGTGAATTTTGATACAAGGATTCTAATTTTCAATGAAGCAATTTGAAACCCTTGATCGAAGTCTTCAATCTTTAATGATGGAATTGGAAATCTCTGGTTAATCAATGGGTTAATCAAATGTTAGGTGTTTGGATGTGTGTTAGAGTGTTTGGCCAGAACTGATTATGATTATGATTTTTTGATTATTTAAATCAAATTGATCAGATCTGTAGAGGCAGGTAAGGAATCTCTAGGAAATAACTGATTGTTGAGATGCATGTAAATTTAACTAACCATCCTGATTATCCGATTTTGATTACGATTTTTGATGTCGTAATAATTACTTTGAAAATGCACATCGAACACCCGCTTAAACCTGCAACTTTTTGGTTTTGTATGATTTATGATGATAACTTATGCTTTTTATTGGTTTTGCTTGGTTAAAGACTATATATGTAAATGAACCCCTATCCTTTTAGTACTATTATTTCACTGCACCTGTATCCTTGCAACTTAGCTCACTCCCCTAGGAAATTGTAACTAGGTTTATTTCATTGTTCTTTTTGAAGTTCCTCTTTCATGGATAAGCCATCAGAGTCGGCCAAGGGTGATTCAAGTGTCGAAAGAGAAATGAGACAAATACTAAATCATTTGAACGATCTGCGGAATCAGCAACCAAAGGATGATGTGCCCCCACCGCCACATATCTTTATTGACCTTTCATCACCTGAAGAGGATATGGAAGTGTTCAAAGAACAATACAAGGTAATGCTCAAAAATGGATTTTGAAAATGTGTTGTCTTGAGTGTATAAGTATAATTTCTATGTAGGATGTGATGATATTTGTTGAATTTTGCTATGAGTTCATATGCTGTTGTTATATTTGTTTATTGGACGGCCTCGGTTCACCTGCTGTTTGTCAAACATCGTTCTTTGGTTCCCTTGCTAATGTTGCACAACTTGCATTTAGACCGCAACAAGATTTTCTTACTTTTGTGCATATATAATTTCAATCGACTGGTTGTGCTTTCTAATTTTTACTATTCCTATTTGCAAGCCGGGGATCTTCTTGAAAACCACCTCTTTGTCTCTTGAGACAGAGGTAAGGTCTGCGTATATTCTGCCTCCTGGACCTAACTTTAGGTGAGATATACAGGGTTTGCTTGGTTTGGTTTCATACTTCCAATTGATAGTGCTACAGAAATCTTTTTCTAATTTTAGCATGATAATTGAAACTTTCACAATGAGCTTTTGCCATGAATTTGTTTATAACTTTGTTTCTATCAGTGATTAATCCCTATGCCACAAGGAACCTTTAGGGATCATTTGGTGGTGGTATAATTATTCGAATTTGTTCATTTTCTGTTTTCCCCCTCTCCATTTGGACATGCATCTCAAATTGTTGCACGATAAAAATACCAATGACATTTTCCATTGATGAACTATTTGTGTTTTAAGATCTTAAGGTAATTAAACACTACGTTGTTTTCTCTTTGTATAAGCTTCTTCATAACTGTATCAGTGAGACACTACAATTAGAATGATCGTTGTGGCACAACTGCACATCTATGACGCGAATAGGTTAGGTAATATCTAACATGTGAACAATAACGTTGATCATTTTATTTTTGTATGGCCTATGTTATGATTTTTCATGTATTACTGTAATATTTCATACTCTTTTGCTCATGCGTAGGTTCTGGGCTCACCATCAGTTGCTGCCAGTGCCAGTGTTCGCTGCAAAAATTTAGGGTGATGTTGCATTACCTGCATGCCAGTTCTTACTTACTTTTCGTCAAAGTTATGCTCTTGTTTTATCATCAGGTGATAGTAATTTTATTTTTTCATGATGTTGTAGGTTTGATAATGGCTGTGTTACTTTCATGTGTATCAGAGATAAAAAGGTATGCATACTTTCTTTATGTTTGGTTTGATGGTTTCATATTATGGAATTACTCATATATTGATTGAATAGCCATCAGAGTTGTGTGTATCTTTGTGTGTGTGTATACATTTGATTTATTAAATTCGTACAGCTACATAGGCTAAATTTTGTTAAAGAGGTTGGATTAAGATTTTTCTGCTCTAATTGATTTATGTTGTAAATGCTATGTCTTCCATCCTCCTGCTTTGTTAAGTTTATTTAGTCCACATATGTGTGGTGTAGCCTAAGACTTATGATTTGTGGGGAAAAGAGATTTGAGTGAGTGGGTATGCAAAGAGTAGTTGGCCTTAATAGTAGTATGATGTCTTTCATGCCTTGAAATCCTTGGGGTTTCAGCTTGTTACATTAAGGTGTTGTTTGTCTTACTGGATAAGAGGATAGACTACTAAGGTGCTGTTTGTTTTTTAAGATGTGCTGAAGTCTTATTTTACTTTTGATTCATAAGAGGTGGTGTTGAAGTCTGATATCAGAATCAATAAGACTTCCTGTTTTTGTAAATTGATAAATGTCTGAATATGTATAATTGTCTATTTTATTCCTCAAAATGCTATAATGTTGAATTTATAAAAACCATCAATTCATTTTAACTAAAATATACTAGCATTCACTTTTAACACATTAAAAATTTCAACTAAAATACATCAATTGATCTAAATACTATAGAAAATATGAACAAAGTCTCATAACAACTAAAATCAATCTTCATCCTGCACTAATTGTGTTGCAACTTCTTCTCTTAAACTAGCCATATATGTTTGGTGAACAGTACTCCGATGCGATTGAACCTCTTCATCCTCGTCATCACCATCGTCTCTTTGCTCATTGGGTTGATCATATTCAAAAAAGAACTCATCACTTAAACCTTCCTCGCGTATGAAGTTGTGAACCCCATTTTGACCCACTTTATTGACTTCTACGATACAAGTCTAAAAAAGTATATGATGGCTTCATTTGTCCACCATGCATGTACATTCTCGTTCATTACTAAAAGGGTCTAACACATACAACATTGCCCTTGGGTAAGCCGAGAATATTGAATCTTTATAAACTATATAATAAGATAAAAATAGATAGTGTGTTTAGAATGATAGCATCTTCATTGTGTAGGTACAAGCTATAACCATGTGTAAGCCACCAAGCCAATAAGAAAAGATTCTAATGTGATGAATTTAAAAATAAGCAAATAAGAAAATATCCTAGTGCGACCAAAAGAATGCAAATCAGATTCTTTATGACACAACCACAGGAAGCAACTTATTGGCTTATCATCTATCATGGAACATTCCAGTTAACTTGATTCAAATACAAATATATCCCTTATTGGTTTATAGTATCCTAGCTTGTTCTGAAACACAAAGAGATATATCCCATTTGCCCAGAGTTTGATTCCAGGCGTACACAACAATTGTGGCCATTGAATTTATCAGGACTGATTTCTTGCTGTCACAATTTGGCGGGATTAGTTTAGGCATAGCCTAAGATACCCTTCCAAAAAAAACACGAAGATAAAAGATGTGTAACACCCCAATATTTGGGGATGTTAAATAAATAAATAAGTTAAAGGTCTAGGGTGCAGCCACAGAAGCTATGTGTGTGTCTTGGGCTGCTACAGTAACGAAACAGCAAACAAAAAGGGGTTAAGGCTTGGGGATGCATCCGCAGTGACCCAACAGCAAGCAGCAACAGCCAAGGGCTGTGCAAGCTGCACCATAGGGAAGAAAACAGTGGCATTGCAAGTAGATAGCTGGCAGCAGCCAATGCTGTTTGGGTGGGAACCGAGCTTTAGTAACGAACCACCAATGGCTGGTAGCACCAACCTTTGGGCTGACTTTGCTCAAGCTCAAAACACTCGACTAGAGTACTTTGGCCTAAATTAATATGCTGAGGTGAGTTTATTGTAGATAGAGCATATAAACGCATAGTGTTGAACATTGGACCAACCTAAAATCTGGGTCAAGTTTCGTGAGCACTTGTGAGAATGGTGAGCAAGTACTTTGTAGGAGTAGCAATACAGAGGAAACGTAACTTATGAACCTTATCAATTTGAACATCGGCCTGTGGAGAAATAACCAAAATGGACCCTACTAGGAACAACCGAACAAGCACATAATAAATTGTTTGTTAGCCAAGTATCAACCTCCTAATAAGCATCAAGAAATGCACAAATAACAGGGAAACTGCTTCAAATATGGTTAGAGGCAAGTAACAGGATGTCAAACAGATTTTGGTGTAAACGGCTGTATGTTGTTCACTGTCCAGGACTCGAGATATCTACTTATCAATATGTTTTAGATAAAAATACTCAAGATATCTACTTAATCGATTAAAACATGTACAAGAAAGAGAAACAAGCACACAAGAACTAAAATCTCATAAAGCTTTAAAGGATAGAACAATACCTAGTTGAGAGAGACAGAGAGTGATCTGGATCAATTGGAGAACAACGAGGAGAGTCATCTGGGTCTGGATCGAGTAGAGAATAGCGAGAAGGAGTGATCTGGATCTGGATTGATTAGAGAACAACGAGAAGGAGAGTGATCTTGATCGGTTGAGAACAAGAGGCATCGATTGAAGAACAGTGGGAAGGAGAGTGATCTGGATCATTGAGAACACTAGGGATCGATTTGAGTGATTGAGTGATCTTGAAATAAAGATCGATTGGAGTGACTGGATTTTTTTTCAACGAGAATGAATATGATCTGAATGATATCATCAGGGATAAGACCTAAATAGGAGGAAGGTTTACCCCTTATCAGATCAGAACACGGTCACACATAAGAACCTCTTATCATAAATTAAAAAAACCTCTTACGGAATCAGACTTCTGAGGCTGTTCAAAGGTGAATTTTAAAAAACAAACAAGGCCTAAGACTTTCCTATTTTTTCGATAAGAGGTTAAACGATACAAGAGGTAAACCATCCTCTTAACACCCTCTTACCATCATCTTAACCTAGATCCCTCTCTTATAACCTAATAAGCGAACATCACCTCCAATCTAATTCTACATTCCAAGCCGCTCTACACGCTTATATTTTTCATTGTGTTTCGATCAATTGATGTACTTCAATAGGATTTGAATGTGTTACAAATTGATGATGGTATATTTTGTATAAATGTATATAAATTCAACATTATAGTATTTTGAGGGATAAAGTAGACAATTACACATGTTCAGACATTTATCAGTTTACTATAATAGCAAATAGTCTTTTTGATTCAACTTCAGCACCACCTCTTATCTATCAGAAGAGAGATAAGACCTTGGATTTCAGTACCTCTTAAAAAACAAACAACACGTAAAAGTGGTACTACTTTCTTGTCTACAAATACGAAACTGTATAAAGTATGAATATTATGATCCAGAGACCAAAAACTACAAATTTTGCTTTAAAATACTTCATATTTCATTTGGGTTTTTAGCTCAGTTGTTCCTCGACTGATGAGCACATATGATGCATTTGATATATAATATTCTATGTTTTCTTACTTCAAGATTCCATGGATTGGAAGCTGTGGCCGATGCAATATTATTTATATGAAATATCTTATTGCCACTAATAGGTGACCCTATCAAAATTTCTATCGGGATTGCTATCTTTTCAAAATCATACCCTACTTTGGACGAGTTCAATTGTAAAGATGTGACTTATTTTTTTTCACCTCTAAGTAGTGGGAGATAGAAGCATAATCATCGAGGATTCTTATGGAATAATAGTTGCATCTCTAGAATGTACAAAAGTAGTTCAATTCTTATTTTAATATGATACTCTATTATGTGTAGGAGATGTACTATTGTACTTATGACGAGCTGTTGTTTCTTTATGTTGATATCTAGATATAATTATCCTGCTTTTGTTTTTCATGCGATGGAAAGATAGCATTTGCACCACATACCCAAAAATTATAAAATGTTGTTTTTTCTCGTGCCTTCTGTAAATAAAAAATAGCCAAACAGGAAGCTTTATAGTATTTTCCTTTTCTCATTAGAGCATTCTACGATGAACGTCTTCCCCTCCATCTAATTGACGACTCTTAATATTTTCTTGCTGATGCCGCTTTGTATTTTTGTAGGTTCAATTTCCTGGCAAATCTCTTTATGCTCTGGGCCGCTCGTGGTTCAAGGAAGGGTTCACCGAGAAAGATAAGGTTCTTGTCATTGCTAGCCTATATGTTCATCTCATAAGATGTGTTCTTGTTTCCTTCGTGCATAGCTAGCAGTAAATGAGGACCCATCAAAGAAATTCATCTGTATCACATTGGCACCATCATTTAAGCCACCACATTACCATTGTTCCCATGCCCATTATTCTTCAAGTAAATAAGCCATCATAATGTGTTACAGTCTTACAGATCTACTTGTTATGGACCACAGCCCAGATAAACCAAGTATTTTAAAGGTATATTCTAGAAGGTCCAAAAGGGTAGAAAAGGACACATAACATGATTTATGCCTTTTGCTCACATGGAGGAAAGTATTGAAGAGATGGAAATTGTCTTCAAGTAGGAATGCAAGGAAGGATGCTATTTATGCCCGATAGAAGCAAGCTTGATTTTCCTCCTTAGAGATTGTGCTTTGTTTGGTTTAAGCCTAACCTAATAATTTTGTGATGAATGGCTTGTAGTTCTTGAAACTTTGTAGATCTGAGATGTATAAACTATTTAAAGTTTCCATTATTTGGATTAACATCCCATTTTAAGTCCCAGCATCATGAATGTGGCTCAGCCCTCTTTTTACATTCTTGATTAAGAACATCTCTCTAATTGAATGTTTTTTTCCCAAAGAGTACAACTTTTAATGCAAAATTGTAAATTTTTTATTTTTTTGGAATTTATTGAGGGTTCGGTTTCATTTGGTTTTAAAGTAAATGGAACCAATATTTCAAGTATCAAGCTGAAAAACCAAAAATGAAATGACCTTGATTTAACATTTCCTATGATCATATCATAAATGTTCCATACTTCTCAGTGCTAATAATTTTGTCTTTTATGATTATAGAATACAAATATATTGATTCAGAATATCCTCATGTTGTATGAGATATAATGATTTATTTTTGCATCTGCAGAGACCATGTTGCATATTTTCACTGTATATGTTATGTAATTGAAATCTAACTTGATGCTTCACTTGACAGGCACATGATGTAGGCTGCATAATATCATTTCCTGTGGGGAGCAAGGAGAAAGAGAAGGTATTTACTACACTCTTTTCTCTTCTCAATTTTGTTTATGATACTTGTTAACTATTCTGATGCTCATGAGTCATGTCATAAAAAGATGATGAACGACTTATGTTGTATTTTACAATATATACCAAACGTTAGGCATGTTTAACAAACAATCGAGCTCCAAATGTCGTGTTTTAAGTATTAAATGTTAACATGACCAAGAATGTTACTAAATGGATTCTAAATTGTACCTTAATATGATGTCAATCAAACAAAGTAGAGCCACATGCATTTTGTGTTAGTCCTGTTGATGTAGCAATGTTAGCATTGGCCTGTTGGGGGTCATCTATATGGTACATAGAGCTGTTTGAAGCAATATATTATGTATGAATTTTGTTAAATAGTACACAACAATCCTTTATAGGATGATTGTTTCAACATGGTATCTGAGCTAAGTTAGGGCTGAGAGAACTGCAAGGAATTGTAAGCAAGTTTTTCATAATCTTCTTTCGTTCAAAATGTAGAAATTATGAGCCACCATTGTATCAAAGTTGCTTTTGCTGATGGGGCACTTAACCGTCGATGCACATCATAGAATGTTTTCATTCTAGTTAAACTTTTGCTGCCGAGGGGCAACATAGAGTGGTTGTTACATTGTCATTCTTTATGCCTTCCTGTATTTGCATAATCTTTCAGCTATGGTTGGTCCTTGCTCTCCTCTAGGCCATTTTTGACAATCTAGTTATAGACTTAAAGAACCTCACTGCCTGATTTGCCATGAAAGCCTGTTGTCGCCTTGGCTTCTTTCTTTGATTTTTCACTAATCTCTACTATAGCAGTAAGTTTTAAATTATAAAGAATATACATATAAACGAAAGACACTTTGGAGATGCGACTTGACCTGACTAAGTAATGCAAGAGTTAAATGGTAGGATTGGTTTATCTCTAACAGAAACACATCGTTCACGCATTGAATAAATTTCGGGAAACAAAACCATGATGAATATGTCCACCCCTTTACCGTAACCGATGTACCTCCAGACTAACTGTCCACCTAAGAAGTACAAACTCAACCAATTCATCAAGGAATAATTGGGGGCCTTTAGCCACTCATAATATTTATGGAATCTAAGAATGAGATGAGAAGTATAAAAGGCGACTGCTGTGAAGTTGAAGAATTCGTGCAATGTCTGATGGGACGGTTAAGGCATATTTGTGAAATTTCATAGATGTTTATATTTCTGAAAACTTGAGTATTTTGACATCTTCTTTAGGATTTTTTCCCTATTATGGAAGTGCTAAAGATTTTGGTTCTTTTTAGTGTTTACAGTTTCTAATTCCTCTATGCTACCATAATATTAGGAAATTTCATTTAATCCAATGCTTGAACAATTCTCTGTAATAGCCATGTAAATAATTTATTTCCATCCAAAACTAGCATTCCTGGGAAAAACTTGTGCTGATTAATGAAAATACCTCTCTCATACCAAGATTAGGGTAGATTAGGGGTTGAGACCTTTAGCTAGTCTAAGCAGGAGGAAGGGACCTCTTAGGGAGAGGGTGGGGGTGGGGTAGTGAGCTGAGATATGATAGACTAGTGGATGTCTCGTTGTTTTACCTTTGTGGCTTTGTGTTGCTTCTCCCTGGCCTTTTAGTCTCTCTTTCAATTTCTGTTTATAGCTTTAATCATATTTCCTTTTTCACCTTCTCATTTTTATAACTGTTCAGCCTTTTCGGACAAGTTTACTTTTTCACACACAAGTTCTGCAAGCTGGGGGATCTGCGTACAACCCCCTCCCCCCCTTTCCCCTCCGTCTCACCTCTCTCCTTCAAACCAAATAGGGATAATACCTATTTAGGCAGACTCATTATTACAAATTGGGGATCACTATTACATGAAGTTTGATGGATGTTTTTGATGTATCATGCCTTCTATTTGCTGTAAGGCTCATGGTTTCCACTATTTTTTTATATAGGGAGTTGCTGTTTGTGCAACTTGGCAAAAATTTGTATTCCATGGTTTCTAATTGGCTGGCTAGATACACTTGTACCTGCATGTAAATGGTTCACTATCTTGTAAGGCATGTTTAACTTCAGGAGCTTGCTTTTTTGCGAGATGTGATCCTTGTCTGTGAAGAATTGAAGGAGGTTCTTGTTTTTTGAGCTTTAGCTTTGCCAAAATCACAATGTTTAGTTTTTTAGTAATCTTAGGAACATCGCAGGAGTCTGCCATCTTTTGAGCCTTAGCCAGGTCAAAACATTCATGTTCTGAAATCAGTTGATCAAGGTTAGGATCATTTGTTGATATTTGTGTTACCTGCTTGCGTGTCAACTCAATGACCTTGATTTTTGTCCAGCTGCTGACTCGGTCATCTATGTGACCAAATTTGTTGACCATCTCTCTGAGTCATATTTGAATTGTTATTGACTCTGTCATCGTCCTCATGACCATCTTTTTATCATACGTCCGATTTGTCTTTAGCTGATGTAAAGGATGTTTCTGGGGGAGCGAGTTCGAACTTGACTTGGATTTAAAGATTAGATTATACCCTTTTAAATATATTTTCTCAATATTCTTTCTGGGCTTCAGAACAACCAACAAATGCATGTAGGGCGTAGCACAGTTAATTATACCTAATTTGCCTCTCACGTGATGCTCTTAGGTATGGTATTGTGGGCCCGCTTGGGGGTTGCTGGTTACAAACCCTTTTTGGACAAACAACCAGAGACTAGGGAAACGTTTATAAAGAAAGAACAATCTTGGTGCACCATGATTCCTAGTTCCTGTTTTGTGGTATGCAACACTTAATTTGCATCTTGCAAGAGGTTGTATCCGTGCTCGAGCCTGTGTTCTTCTGTTAACAAAGTTGTGACCATAGGGGGTAGCAGCTTTTGGTACTTGTTTCAATGTTATTGCTCGACATGAGTTTTATAAATGGAATGTTGAAGTTTAGACTTACATAGAAAAACAAAAGATCAACTTTACTCCAGTAGTTATATGTTAGTGTAAACGGTGTTCTTTTTGTTTTATGTTCCTATCTGGGACCCTAGAATTGGGGACACCTGTCTAACCCTGTTATATTTTTTGAGTAAAATACCAAAATCTGAGTAGAAATACACGATTTTGGTTCTAAAATTCATAACAAGACCATGCAAGTTCATGTTAACAAAATTGGAATGATTTTTAAGTTGGAAAGAAAACAGGTATTTGGAATAATTTTACATGGCTTATCACTTTGTCGGCTTGTGTGGGCGGTTGGTGGTCCATTGCGCTGACTCTTGAATTTTAGTTGGACCAATGGCTTGATTTCTTCTTTAACTTGTGAAAAATAAAAGTTGTATAGGACATGTATAGTTCAAAATACTATTCTAGTATATATATATATATATATATATACACACACACACACACATACATGTACACACGAACACATATGTCATGTTTTTTTAGGTGTCATCGGCCATCGTCTTACTTAACACATCTTCGTCCTCAGAATAATGATGAAGACTCGGATACTTCAGCTGCCAAGAAGCTCTTACGAGACTTTGTCATGCAGGCCAAGGCTCGAGCTAGGTATATATTTTCATTATTTAACACATCGCATGACAATAAAACATAAATATACAGTTTTACCCTCAGATATTCCCTTTTTGCTTGCAGAATTGCCGAAAAGAAGGGGAAGAGGGTTCAGAAGAAGATTCCTTTTGCTCCTACTCCTGCTAACAAGGTTCAGAAGGAGGTTTGTCTTTCTTCTACTCCTGTTAACAAGGTTCAAAAGAAGGTTCATTTTGCTCCTACTCCACCTCCTCACCGTGGAGAAGGAATAAGAAAAAAAAGGTTCGTCCCAAAGATGCGAAGCTTGAGAGCTATAATGGCGAGCACCAAAAGAATGCCAGATGCCTGAAAGACTTGTTTGAAATTGTGGGATGATAACTTGAAACTGTGGTGTGCTTGTTTTCAAATATTAGGATGATAACTTGAAAAAAGTTGTGGTGTTTTGGTTTGCTAACTCTGAACTGGAGTTCTATGTTTATGGGGTCAAAAAAGCTTTTGAAACTTGTGTTGAGCCATTTAGAGTCCATTCAATATTGCATGTGATAGTGGAGTTGCTTGTTGGGTGACTTTGCTACCCGGACAAGGCTGGGTGGAACTGGACTAGGCGGGATTGCCTAGTACAGAGAGTGAGCTAGGCACGTGAAATAATTTCGTAAGGTTTTGGCCTTTTAGTTTGACGTAGGGAAGCTTAGTAATTTATCAATCTTGTGTCACTTCTTAATTTTTCCTATTTGGTGAGACAAATAAAAGCATTTTTGTTTACTTAGGTCATGTCGTGTCCCGGTCTATCATCACGTCAAACGTAGGATAGGATAACTTTTTGCATTGTTTCTCTTGTCTCATGTACCAAACACAGTCTTTAGTCATACTCATTGGCTTAACGTGATTGTCCCTTTATTCTTTATGGATTAAAGTCTACTAACAAACATGGGCATTGGAGATCAAACAATGATAATTACTAAGAGCAATGTCTGAAATGTAGATAATTCGCTCCAAGGTCTCCCCTGAAACTCAATTTCGTGAACTGACCTATTTTAGATGTAAATGACTAAAGTACCAAGACAATTGTATCAACCAAAATCATTGTATCCGTCGTTCTCCTCTAGGTTGCGAATTTCAAACAACTCTTGCTAACATCCTCCTTCCCTAGATCCTTTTGCATTTTCTCCAAGTTTTCTTCGTTTGAAGAACCCTAAGAAGGATAGAAGCAAAAACCCAAGGGGTGTCTGGTATGCAAAATGAAATAAAATTTTATCAGGTTTGACCAAGTGTTTGGTTTACAGGAAATGAAATGTTAATATGTCAAATATTCAATTTGTTTGTTTGATTTATAAAGAAATTAAAATGAAATAATGAAAAATGATCAAAAATATGTTCGAGTTTTTTACCCTGGAAAAAGAAACACAACCACTAACTTATATGGTTCATCACCTAGACATATTAAAACCAAAATTGTTGCTTTCAAACCTATACATATTACAGCCGTAAAATCATTGTACAAGTCTTCCATATGCAATGTTCAAGCAATCAACAGTCACAACAGTGAAATAATATGAAAGGGAGTTCAAGCAATCTATAGTCACAACAGAACTCATCCACAAGCAATGTTCAAACAAGAAACCTCAGCCAAATTTGATCTTCAAAACCGAAATCGAAATTGGTTTCATAGGCAAACAAAAACCTTCAACTCGTTCATCAAGAGCAAAATCAATTTCAAAAAAAAAAAAAACAGAAAAATTGATTTCAAAATCTAAATCGATCTCGAAGCACATAAGCGTGAATGAGGTAGGTGATGTTTTTGGTTAAGAGAAATCAGGTTTTGAGAGAAATCATGAATAGAGAAATCGATATCAAAATCTTGAGTGAGGCCGTGAATGTTGAGAGAAATCGTGTTTTGAGTTTGAGCAATCGTGAATGAGGGAGGTGTTACTTTAATCAGACTCGATATGGGATTGTTTTGTTATTTTTAAAATAATGATTGGGATAGAATCCAATTCCTTAATTCCAAATCGATGATGGAATTAGGGGTGAGCATAGGCGGGTACCCACCCTTTTTGACTGGAACCGGAACCGGCGGTTCTTGAAATATTAGAACCGGAACCGGAACCGGTTAGAGCGGTTCTTAAATTTTTGGAACCGGAACCGGAACCGCCGGGAACCGGTTCCGGTTCTGGGTACCCGCTTCCTAAAATATTAAAATTTTGTTATTTAGAAATAAAAAATAAAATATTGCCAAAACACTAAATAAATAAGCAAGAATACAAATTATACAGAATAATGGTTACAAATATTGATTAACGATTACAAACCATAATAGACTAATAGAAAATGTTCAAAGTTTAACGATTACATGTTATAATGATAATTGTTCAAAGTTTAACGATTACATACTATGAATCCAGGTGAACACACTATTTGAAAAAATACGAATCATTTTATATGAAAAATTTAGATGAAGAATGAAGATGACGACGTGTTTTTAAGATGTAAACCTAATATAAATTTGGTATTAAAAATAATAATTTTTTTATTGAAAAATACCGGGTATCCGGGGGGTAACGGTTCCGAAAAATTGAGAACCGGAACCGGAACCATTATCAATCGGTTCCGTATTTTAGGAACCGGAACCACTCATATCGGTTCCGGTTCTAGAACCGGCGGTTCCAAGGCGGTTCCGGTTCCGTAGCCGGGTACCCGGTTCTGCTGCTCGCCCCTAGATGGAATGATGAGATCCATGGTTGAGGAAATGTTTGGAATTCAATAGCATTCTATGAATAAACCAAGCGCCATAATGCAATTTGGTCAACGAATTAACCATTCGAAAGGAATTTGGTGGAATTGTAATCCATCAAAGGAATTTGATTTTGAAGGAATTGAAATGAAATATGATGGAATTCCACTATGCGTTTGGTTGGTAGGAACTAGAATGGAATCTCTCAAAAGAGTGGAATCTCCATATTTATTTGGAGGGATGTGGGGGTGACAGTTACGATGAAGACAACAATGGCTTGTTAGTAGGTGGTGTTGAGGGTGCCCCACCGACCATCATGCCACTACTATAGTCATCCCACGCCCCACCCCACACACGTCATCACAATTATGATATCTTCCCATCCACCTGCCCTCAACTTGCTGACCACCATGCCACTACCGTCATCGTTACAGCTACCACCCTACCCCTACACACCCACTACGCCCCCACCCCTACATACCCACATTGGTGGGTGGTGGTGGTGGACATCGACACCCAGGGATGGTGATTTGGCCCGACCCGGTGGGGAACCCGGTTCACCCGACCCGGACGGGGACGGGGATTCCCCGCTAAAACGGGTACCGGGGTCGGGGATCTCGGGGCCGGGTATTATATCCCCCGACCCGCCCCGCACCCGGTATATATATAAATATTAACATTTTGATTATTTGGGCTTATAATTGATATGTGCGGCCTGTTGGACTTATGGA